TTATATATTATTGAAATAGGAAAACAATTTATTTTAACTTAATATATATTACTTTAATTCTGTTTTTGCACTACATTATTTCACGTCACTTTTAAAAACTAAAAGTTTCGTATATATACGTACATGAACGTGTCTTGTATTGACATATAAAGTATGTACATATGGCCTAATATATATATATATATATGTATATACCTATAAATTTTTAATAAACTTAAAGAATATGGAAACTTAATTTTTTAATAGAGGAGATGGACACTTTGAGGTTCTACTTCATTAGACACATTTTAATTGCAGTTGGTGGACACTATATTAAGTAATAGTACTCAATTTTTTTTTCTGTTTTTAAAGTCAATAATGACGAAAGAAAGCTTTTTTTCAAATATCGGATGATTTTTTAGCTGCATGAGAACTATCGATATCGATAACTATGGCTTGACAGCAGAAAATGTCAAACTATTTTGCATTCATGTTTTCTTAATGGAGCTTCTATGGCTTGTTTTTTAAGAATTTGTTTTGTTTTTCGTTTTTTTTTTTTTGCTATCACAAATCTAACGGATAATTAAGCAATTATTAAACGATCTAAATAATCAACGTTTCAAAATTTTTTTAATTTTAGTTTAGGCAAACGAATCACTCATCCATTATCTTTAAATTAAATTATTCTTATTTCAGAAATGTCTTTAGAAAATGCATCATATGTAAAACATTCATTGCTATAGATGTAAATTACTGAACAATGAGTTTTAGAGTGCTTATTCCAAAGTCCATGAAAAATTTTATAACGATTTTCTGAATTGTTATTCTAATTTTAAATCATAATCACAACTCTTATAGAAAGCATGGTAACTATAGAAAGAACTGCTTCCTATAACTCCTATAGAAAAGAAAGTTTTTTGTGCAGTTGAGGGTTGTTCTCTTTTTTGGTACCTGTGAACTTTTTCTCTATAAAACCGTCAATTTCAGAAACAATCTCCATTACCTGGTGGACAAGATACTATAATTTAAGTATGGCACTCTATTTACTTTGATCTAATCGCTTAAAACTTTTAGCGGGATAGCAATCCCGGGACTTTTTCTGAAGCCCGTATTAATAATTACCACATAATTTGAAAATATTTCATTAAGGAGAAGCCATGCAAAGTAATAATTATAACTTGAAAAAAATTATTGTCTATTATTTGTACAAAATCATTTCGAGTTTTAATTACTAGTACTGAAAAACTGTCTACATTTCAGTTCAAATTATGTTTGTCCTTTTATTACAGATTACAACAAATAAATAAAACTCTGAAATGGAATTTCACTTTTTATTTGCTGTTATATTTTTATTACTAGAGCTTTTCAGAACAGCATGGAAAAATATTTTTAAATCAATAAACACCAATCAACAAATGAGGCAATACTAAAATCCAATACTTTTTAGGTTAGAGGAAATGGATTTATTTTTTCTGAGCAATTTGCTTACAGCGTTTACAAACAAAAATTTTATCAAAAATTATAAAATGAAATAATTTGATGGATTCAGAACTAAATTGATTTGAAATAGAAAAATTTTATTTTTAATTTTCAAAAATTAAAAAAAAAATGTTTAAATTCCAATTTCAAATGAAAAAATATTTATGAAATTATGCTTGATTTGATTCGATTGAAATTAAAAATTTTTCATATTTTATTATAAATGAATATTGTAATGGAATTTGGGATATTATAAATATATTTTTTATATAAATCGAAACTGATGTTATAATGCAAAATAACGTTAAATGTTATTTTTACTTTGGGATCCAAGCTGTTGTGCCACAAGGCTCCTCTCCTTATTAACACTGTTTAATATTTACATATCCAGCATACTAAATGAGAAATAAGAACAACATTTTGTAATGACTATCAGACAATATTTGCAGCTTCTGCTCATAAAATTCACGCAACTAATTACGAGTATTAGCCATCGAATGATATTGTGTACTTATATGGATATAAATCATATGGAAGAACAATCGATACACTCGATCAGTGGCCAGCTCTTTACTAGTACCGAGTTCTCCCAAAACGTTAGTATGTTACTAGCCGGACGACTTTCTTCTATTCGCCCAACAGACCAAGCCAGCGAAGACGCTGAATTTTAGTGTGCTTAACTATCGTGGTATAGCACATACAGTTCAACGTTCCATTGACTTTAATACTAGTTGCCAAAGTGTAAGGAACCATATATCTTCTGAAGAATTCTGCTTTGAATTTTCCTAACGCCATCTTATCACTGTTGTTAATTGTTCGAGCTCTGCAAGAGTTAGCATTCCTGTCCAGCTGTATGGTGCTGAAGCCTGGATAATTCAATTAGCTCATCACTTAATTATTTTTATATACATATTTTCATTTGCAATATTTTAAAAAAAAATTTTTGCACAAAATGCATTATCTACATTTTTAATTGAAATAGTCCTGAATAATGTGTTTCAATTTTTGTAATTTGTTTACAGGGTCCTCAGGGAGGTATGCCTGTAAATAAATTAAGATCAATTATTGTCAGATCTAAGGTCAATTATTGTTTAGTCTGATGAAATGATAAACAATAATCCAGTCAAGGCGTAGAGAGGGGTTATAAAGAAACCTTGCAGTTAATAGAGAGTAAAAGTGCTCAAGTACACTGACTCAACTGGCCTCAACATAATAATAATATAAGTTCCAATATATTTCAAAATTTATCAGCTACATTTTTTTTGGCTTCATATCAAATACAATATCAAATTTTATTTAGTATCTAATCTTCACCTCATTTTATTTATAATTACTAGTTGATAGTGATTTTAATAATTTTTTAATCAATTAATTTTTCATATACTAAAAAACTGTAATCCAGTCCAACTATATGTAGTGTTGCATCGCATTACTTCGCTATACGTCTCAGATAAACAAGATAAATTTTTTGATATCGTGAGTTATATTCCTTTTAAAATACTTAAACTACTTTTATAAACACATCATCCAAACTTACTAACTATGAATATTTTAACATATCTTTACAACTCCTAATCTTAAGATCCGTTAGTAATGATTTCCTAATGCATCAATTCAATTTTGAATAATTAATTATAAAAATTATTAAATTTTAAGCAATAATAAATCGCTGGAAAAATACATCATTAAAGAAACTT